ATCAAACCAAACTACACAAGTCCAGGAGGCTTCACACCATACCAGATCAGATTAGACCTCGATAGTTGTACACTACATAGAGATCAGACACTTACCACACTTGATCAGACCAGTTCAGTCTAAATCAGACCAGATAAGATTAAAGAAGACCAAACTGGAAAATTTATCCAAGTGAAAACATTCTTAAAAAAAAGAATGGAACAAGTATTTGTCATGTGTCCCACTAGAAACAAATGATAAAAGTGATGTAGAAGTGGAGCTAGCAAAAAGGCGAGGCAATAACAAGTGTCGTTATTAACGGTAAAAGGTGAGAAAGGACGAGTGAACGTTGGATTCCGTCAAAAAACGACCGGACGTCTATGTGTTTGTCTCTTTGTTTTCATCCACTAACTGACGCGTCGTCTCCGTGTCACGTACAAATGTCGTCGGCAGAGGAAGTTTCCTGACCACCACCGTAATTTCATGCGATCTCAAGGGCCCTGCTGTCATTCCACTATCAGCCGCAATGCTGTTTGGAATCCGAGGTAATGATCGGATGTGTAAGCTGTAATTTCCACTTTCCAATGAGGAGTGCCCAAACGCGCTGTCAGCCAATGAAATGTCAAACTTTTTTTGCAAGTTGGGAATGTGGCATGAGGCATCCCATCCCCACGCACATGGGCTCCCTACTCATTTCATTTAAATTTATATGAGATTTTAATAAATTGATAACCTCTCCCTACTTATCTTGAAGTTATTTTATTTTATGGTTATCTTGCAAGTTGAAAATGTAACGTTGAAGTTATTTTATGGTTATCTTGATTGTAGTTACTCTACATTATCATTCTTACTAGTTATTTTTTTCCCACAAATCAACCGAATTGACCAATCAATTACTTCAACAAAAAAATCATATATTTCATTAGAATCAGTCAACGTAGCTGTTTTTGATATTACCAAATGAGCTCTTAGTTATGCAATATTCAAAATAAATGATGATTAACTTACTTTAACAACTAAATTGCCATAATTATGTTATTTTAATCTTAGTTTAGTCAGATCAGTGGTAAATTAGGTTGGGCGAGTATTTCTTTTTTGGAAATTATTTACATGAATTTTTTACCTAATGATTTAAATAAAATTGAAAATTGGAGTGGTTGGGGTCTAAGACGCCCCTCAATTATGCCCGTGATTATAAGGACTCTCATACCCTATAGGCTATAATAAAATTTGAGAAATCTCAATAAAGACTGAAAATTCAAAATAGAAACATTGTGTTTTATTTTCAAATAAATATGAGTTGATTACCTTCGTTTCAAATTGATTTACAAAGTCGACCTTTTTGTCAAAAGATATACGGAGTATATCATTTTATTCAAATCGGAATATCAGTATTTTAGTATATTCTAATTTGAATTTTGTAATTCTTAGAGATTTTAATATAATTTCTGAATTTGTAAATTGAGTTAATTAATTATTAATAGAGGGTTTAAGTTTAACATTGGCTGAGACGGACGACTACATTTTTGAAATTATACTGCCATATTTTGACATGGAGACGCTAATATGACAATATTAATCCATAAATGACAACAGCATAAGAGTATAATGGATTACAACACAAATCCAACATGTATGATTTCAACTCACTGAACAAGCATTTGCTTGATGCATTAAAGAAAACTTTGATTTCAAATGTGTACTAATATTTTCATTTATTGAAAACATTATATATATATATATATATATTGTTTTTGGAAATTGATAAATATATTTCACAAAAATATTCGATGTTTGATTTTACAAGATATTTGATAAGGTTAAAATGATATAATATAATAAAAACATTGAGATATTTTCTTAAAATTATTGAAATATAACGTAAAGGATTTTAAAAAATATTCCTATAATAACTATAGTGTAGAATTGAACAGAATCATGATCACTAAAGTTACTATGAGAGAGTAGTTTATCATTCTTTAATATATTGAGTAGGTGTGGTAATGCCATGATATCCTCTTATGTGGCACCATAAGGAAATCATATAAGACTAATTTAATACTATGATAAATTCATAATCACTATGATATAAAAGGTCATACTTTTATTCAGAAAAAATTTCACTTTTGGATCCATGACTATTATGTCATTTCCACATTACTCCATTGACTTTCAATTTAATCAAATCTAATCTGATCCGTGACCTTTTCTCCTTCACCACCCATCGTCCTTCCGGCCACAACTCCGGCAAATTTTAACCGGAAACTCATTTATGTAGAAATATTGGGGGCATTTTAGTAATTGTATGTTGTTAACAGGGGAGCTATGGGACGAACGTCCCCATAGCCCAAGCCAACTGGGGAAATATTTGGTTAAATTGACTGTTGGGGACGAACCTCGCCACGACCCGGGGAAAGGCTTCCCAGTTGGCTTGGCCTATGGGGACGTTTGTCCACGGAGCGAGTAGAGGCTCCCTCTTGATTAAGGTTCTCCCATGGAGGCATGACATTGAGATCAACATTGAGTGAACTCTTACGTTTATGGGACGAACGTCCCTGTTGGCTTGGGCTATGGGGACGTTCGTCCCATAGCTCCTCAGTTAACAACATACAATTACTAAAATGTCCCCAATATTTCTGCATAAATGAGTTTCCGGTTAAAATTTGCCGGAGTTTGGTCGGAAGGACGACGAGTGGTGAAAGAGAAAAGGTCATGAGCTAGATTTGGTTAAATTGAAAGTCAAGGGAGTAATGTGGAAGTAGCATAATAGTCATGGGACCAAAAGTGGATTTTTTTCCTTTTATTCATTACATTTATTTTGATCATATATCTATCATTATTTGTAAAAGGTTTCACAAAATTGATACTCCCTCCGTCCCAAAAACAACCTCACAGTTTGACTAGCACACATATTAAGGAAATTAAATTACTGGGGGGTAAATTTTACTGTTTGGACACTGTTTAGCACTGTTTTGATGTAGATAATTTGCCAAATAAGGAAGTGGGAAGAATTGTGAAGTTAATTTTGGGACATTCATTTAAGGAAAGTGAGAAGTTATTTTTGGAACGGAGGGAGTATTACTATTAATTTCGGACATTTTAAAAGAAACTATTAGCTTGAGACGGGGTATACCCTAAATTGATATTATTTAAGACGTACTCTTATTAAATAGAGTGATTGATGAATGAAATGTGTTTAATTAAAATAATAATGAACATTTAATTAATAAGCGAGGGATTACATAACTAAGGTGTAACCCTAATATTATTTGAATGGCTAAATTACATCTAATCTCACAAAGAACTTTATGTATCAAATAACAATAATTAAAAAAATATGATCCTAATTAACAATTAGCATACAAGTGTAAAATATCTTATTTGATGGGAGGAAAATTGAACACGTAGTAGTATCAATGTATCATCCCTGCATATGATAGTTCTTTCACCTTTTTCCTTTAAAAATAGTTGAATTATAACGCTAGACGGCTAGGTAGTGACATTTTTTCTTTTACCTTAGTTGTCATTGTATTATAATAATATAAGTCATATTGGTGTCGGTTCATAGTCTCTAAACTTTGATTTCTTAGTATAATAAGTTAACCTATCTGATTTTTATATTAAATACGAGTATCAAATTATTTATTTGGTTGTAAATATGTACGCCCACTCAAACGCTACTATTTTCAAAGAGTAACTTATTGGATCATCACACATGAGTCAAGCCTACAGGTACTAAAATATGGAAAATTTTCACTATATTATTATCGGGTGAATATAAAAAAAGGTGACTTCTTAACTATTAGTAATTATAATCATATATTCGTATTCAATATTTACATCGTCATAACTACATATAAGTCATTATGTAAACTTTAAACACAATTATAGTCATTAATAGTTAGTAGATTTTTTTTTATCTATAACTTTTTTATTAGTAATATTTAATGAAAAACAACAAAAATATTACTACTGCCTCTTCAAATAAATTTATAATCTTAGTAAGATATACGGCCGATGGTGTAGGGGTAGGTTTTCAGGTGGATTTTTCGGTATTCTAAACTCTCTACAAAAAAAATGGAAGAGGGATTTAGTTTTCACCCGGCCATACTCGAATCCATAGTTAATTAAATACGATACGAGAATTAAACGATGTGTAATACGTTCACGTTTTATTCGGTAACATGAATGAAAAAATTAAACAATCAAAATTCATTGAAAAAACTGATCGACTTTTAAAAAATGTATAAATACGTATACGTGTATAGTACGTTATCATTTACAATAATTCGGACAAAAAGTATGGGGTGTTATTTTGAACATTTATATTGATACTTCACAAAATAATATATATAGGAAAAAGAAATAAAAGTATACACATATTCAAATACCAAATGCCATTACTACATAAAGAGTAATTCGTAATTGCATAAGTCGAAGACAAAAATAAAAATAGTAATCAAGTCCAACACATAATTTTGTAAAATAATGTCAAAAATAAGCCATAGTACCAATAGAATGAGGCCACATTAAAATCATTATAGTTAAATGATTATCAAATAACATTAAAGTTAAACTCATCATTCTCATCAAGATGACGAATGACATATGAGAAAAGTTGTGTGTCTGTTATGCTTATTATTATTTATGTGTAAAATTTTATACTAAAAACATGTCAAGTTTATAAAAACATTAATTTTGATATGCTTGTTTGGAAAACATGAAAACATCATAAGGCTATGTCTGTGTTTGCTTTTGCTTGTCAAAAGTGATTTATTTAAGAGATTGCGGGAAAAGTGGGTTAGAGTAAAAGTAGGTAATGTTTGGGAATATAAGTGATTTTAATTAAAATGTAAAAATTGGTGTGTTTGGTAAAAAAAGGATTTTTGATGTAGTTTTTTTGTAAAGTACAAAATTGTCCCTTTCCTTTTATATTTTCAGTGTTTGCACGCTACCCCGTTTCTCTCATCTTTCACTCCTACCCTGGGATTATACAAAATAATAAATTTTGGGAAATAATAGCTTACCATATTGGGTGCCTTAGCCTTAAATTTATAATAAAACAGAGTTATAGAAATTACACAGGAGTCCCGAGATAATACATTATTACACCCCTCAATCTGTGCAGGGGAAATAACGCGCAGATTGACACACAAAAATTCAAAACACTGACCATTCTTAGTAATTATATCAGCTAACTGTAACTGTGTGGAAATATACTTGACAACAAGATCCCCATGAGTCACGCATTCTCGAACAAAATGATAATCAATTTTGATGTGATTGCTGCGATGATGCTGAATAGGATTCACGACCAATAGGATGCAGAAACATTATCACAATGAAGCTGGACCGGAGCATAAATACGGATACCAATGTCGGCCAATAGTGAACGTATAAATAAGGTGTCCTGAACAATATAAGCAATAGCCCTGTACTTAGCTTCAGTAGAAGATTTGGAAACGGTGGGTTGTTTCTTGGATCGCCATGAGATCAAATTAGAGCCCAAAAAACCGCATAACCTGTAGATAAACGAGAGATGTCCGGGCAACCTGCCCAATCTGCATCAGAATAAGCCATAATGACATAAATATTTCTGTCAAACCGAAGCCACAAGCCGGGAGATGACATGCTCTGTAAGTACCTGTAAATTCTCTTGAAAGCTAATAAATGAGCGGTACGTGGAGCATGCATAAACTGAGACACCATATGAACAGCATATGTAATGTCAGGTCTAGTTATAATCAAATACTGAAGAGTCCCTACCATACTGCGGTACTCAGTAGCATCAGATAAAAGTTCTCCATTTGTGAGAGAAAGGGTGATTAAGGAAGGAAGTGGGGTACATACTGGTTTGATTGTATAAAGATGAAAACGATGTAACAGATCAGATATATATTTAGCCTCAGACAAAAATATGATTCAAGTATCACGTAAGTTAGCTTGAAATATTATTCCATACACTCAGGCCCACACGGAATGATCTAAAAGTGTATGGGAAAATATCTCAAGTTAAAAGGTCATTTAATTTGTGGACAACAATTTTGAAATGTACTATTATTATCTTAATAATGAAAATAAAATAGTAGCTTTTAAGCTGAATTGGGACGTTTCAAATTGTTGAATTTGAATTGCCGAGTGGATATATGAGATAATAGCCCTAAATAGGACTAAATTAATCCTTAAATGCACAAATAGGATAATGTTATTTATCTTCCCCAAATAGAACTAAAGTATAATTTATCTTCATATTCTACCCTTACCACAACTTAATAGGATAATCATATTTTAATTTGTAATAATACAAAAAAATAAAAATAATCTAACTTATACAAAAAATTGTAAAAAAATATAAACAAATTCTATTTAAAAAAACAAAAAAAAACAAAAAACGTAAAAAAACTTGTTTTTAAAAAAATTAAAAACATTAAATTGAATAGCAGTGATGCATCGAGTGAATAGCAGTGATACACCGAGTGAATAGCAGTGATGCACGGAGTGAATTTAGATTAATTAAATGATTTTGTAGTGGTGATAATGAAATTTTTATTAACCAATATAAGACTCACACATCATTGATTCATACTTATGTTTTATTATATAAAAATAATACTTTTGTTTTTTGTTTTTATATATGCAATATTGGTTTAATATGAAAGATTACAAAACTTATGAATTTTGATACATTTCTTATAAAAATTGGAGTACAAAAAAAGAAGGAAAAATCTCTTCCCCTTTCTCTAAATAAGTTGACGTGATTAAAGTGAATCAATGATGCACCGAGTAAATAGCAGTGAAGCATCAACTGAAGTTGAATTAATTAAATGTTATAGTAGCAGTGATAACAAAATTTATTAACTAATAAGAAACAAACACATTACTGATTTATAACTACATTTTATTATATAAAATAATATATTTTTGTTTTTATATATGCAATATTGATGACATATGAAATATCAATGAGTTTTGATATAATTTTCGTAAAGATTGGAGTACAAACAAAAATTTATAGCACGTTAAAAGATATTTTCTTCTTCACTTTCTCCAAATGAGTTGACGTGATTAATATGAATAACACTCATGCACCAAGTGAATAGCAGAGATGCACTGAGTGATCTTGGATTAATTAAATGTTTTAGTAGTAATGATTATAAATCTTTTATCAGCCAATAAGAGACTAACACCTCATCAATCTTTAACCCAAATGTATTGTATAAAATAATTTTTTATTTTTATATATGCAAATATTGGAGTAGAAATAAATGAGTTTTAATACATTTAAAAAAGTTTTTTTCTCTTTCATTTTCTCCAAATGAGCGATACATGCACTGAATAGCAATGATGAATGAAGTCAGCTTATATGAATTAAATGTTTTAGTAGTAGTGATAATAGAATTTTTATAAATCAATAGAATTTTTAACTCGGATTTGCTATATAAAGTACTACTTTCATCCCATTCAAAAGTTCTCGTCCACTATTATCCGGTCAACATAAAGTCTTCTTAATTTATTACTTTATATATCCAATTTTTATCAAATATGAGTTTTTTTTTGCGACTTTATAAAATTTTTGATGTAGTCTCTGGATATGTAAATTTTATTTACTAAAAAGAATCTAATTACGGATAAGATCAATCAACTTTATGATTAATTAAATATCGTAAACCATGTATAACCTTTCTATAGGACGTAGAGATATATATTTTTATGTTTATATATATAATATTGGTGTCATATGAAAGATACTAAAAAACTATGAATTTTGATATAGTTTTGGTAAAATTTGGATTATAAATATAAAAGTTATATCACTTTAAAAAGAGAGTATTTCTCCTTTTTTGCTCCAAATCGGTTGTGATGTAGGGAGTTTTTTTAAATAGCCGTGTAATGTAGGGAGTTAATTAATTGTTTTAAATGTTGTGATAATAGAATTTGCTTTATCCAAAAGGAGTCTGACACATCATTAGTTTTTAACTCAACTTTACTATATAAAACTATAGAATCTAATTACGGATAAGATCAATCAACTTCATGATTAATTAAATATCTTAAACCATGTATAACCTTCCTACGGGACGTATAGATATATATTTTTTTATTTTTATATATATTATATTGCTGTCAAATGAAAGATACTAAAAAAATATGAATTTTGATATAGTTTTTGTAAAAATTGGATTACAAATTTAAAAGTTATATCACTTTAAAAAGAGAGATTATTTCTCCTTTTTTTGCTCCAAATCGGTTGTGATGTATGGAGTTTTTTTAAATAGCCGTGTGATGTAGGGAGTTAATTAATTGTTTTAAATTTTGTGATAATAGAATTCGCTTTATCCAATAGGAAGCTGACACATCATTAGTTTTTAACTCAACTTTACTATATAAAACTATAGATGGAGAGCACTCACTCCAGATTTTTCCTTCTCTTCTATGTGCCGGCCGTGAGCCCGTGACTACGAAATAAAAATTACAACAAGCACTTGCTCTTTTCTTTATCTGCAGAGCCGGGGTTCAATAGTCTATTCACAACTTGACTTCCAAATTTATGGGACCCCAAATTTTTAAAACTTTATTACTATTATATAATAATGTACTACGTATATTAATATTAATGTGTAAAATACAGTTAGTAAGAAGAAAAATATAGATGCATCATTTTTTGTTTGTCATTTTAGTTTTCTTTTACTCAAATTGTTTGAATAATGAGTTGAACTGCTTTAAATCGAGTATTGAGTAAGTTTTAAAAAAATTATTACATTATTTAATGAGTATTCAATTGATTTAAGTATAAGTATTTGGATTGAGATGTTTTTTATTTTTCATATTAATGTGGAGCCTCGATTTTACATTTGCAACCAGAGCCCCCGAATTGATTAGACGGCCCTACCCATACATTTGCTTGTCTAAAAGAGTGTATTTTCTTTTCAATTGGAGGAGTGAACACCTGTCTAGTTCATAATCTATAATTCTTTCATTTTTGGGCTCATCATTTTTCAAGGCTTTTTGGGCACTAGGTGAAGGTTTCAGTCAAGTTAGTTAAAGTGGTAGAATTATCCTGAGAGCGAGTTAATCAGACCTGCCCGAATAGCTATCGGGATACGGAGGCTATATTTCTTCAAGGTCAGTCCGTTTTAACGGGCGATCCTCCGATAAGTTTTCTTATTTTCCCTCTTTATTCATTTCAATTTTTTTTGATTATTATTATTATTGTTTTCTGTTCTTGCATTTGACGATTTGTCTGGTGATTTATTTAAACTCGGTGTTTTTATTTGATTGAACTAGCATTTTAATATCATTTTTTCTATGTCATTAAAAAAAGTATCCTAATATAAAAAAGAATGGGATTAATTTTCCAATGACGTCGCCCAGTCATAAACTGTGCGATGACACCTTAGTACTGGTGGGTGCAGCACAACTGATAGCAAGGGAATGCCACAAGAGTTAAGTCCCGAGTTCGAATCCCGGTAACTGCGATGAGGGTTACTATGCTAAAAATGCATAGGACTTCTGCAAGTACCAAGAACAGAATCTCACTCTCTATCTGTCAGATTGGGATTATAATCCAATTTACATCCTCCCAACGTACCATCCAGTTGGGATTGGGGGCCCTCAGGGATGGGATGCTATCTTTTTTTGTGGTGACACCTTAGTGAGGTGTGATTGCGTGAGTGATATATTTATTGCGCTACATCACAATTCACAGATGAACCAAAAAATAACTGTCATTGAAAAAGGTGGCTAAATTCATTTGAGGTGGAAGTCGAGCAGGACTTAAATGCGTTTTAATTATTTTTGGTTGAAACGTTGATTTTGTGAAATATTCTGAAAGAAAAACATTTAGTAAAATATAATTTCACCCATGTAGGATTTTTTATGCGTTGATAATAAATAAAAAAATACTCTGATAATTAGCGGAATGAGCTTAATGCTTGGAACCGAAATTTAAAGAAATATACATACTCGTAGTATATATACTAGTACATAATTGGTAAATATACTCTCTCCGGTCCTAAATAATCTTCATGGTTTGACATTAAGTTTTTATGAAAGTAGAACTTTTTGTTTTGACTTTCCCATTATACCCTTACAAAAAGTAAATAAAGTGTAGTGAGAGAGATAAAGTAGGTAATAAACTTTCATTTTTGGGTAAGTTCAAAATAAACTCTTATTTAGCGTGTAAAAGAAAGGGAAATTCCTTTACACGCTATAAAAAGAATCATGTGTGATTAAATTGTTGTAATACTTTGTTATTATCAATGAACAATTGTTGTAAATAACAAATGAGAGTTTTATTCTCGTGGTTTTATTCCCTTTTGATTTTAAAAAATTCTCCGTTAATAATACGGGGTTTTTTATAGTTATTTTTTTATAAGTTGTTTTTAGTTAACTTACTTTACATCTCTATGGATAATTTTGGTATTACACCATCTACGTGAGTACGTGACTACGTCCCAAAATTATAGTCACAAAACTTTTGAACACTTAGGGGTGTCCTGGATTAAGATTTCACAAAATTTTAAAGGAGTGAGATTTCAATGAATTTTAATGGAATTGGATAGAATCTCTGAGATTCTAATCAAATTTCATGGACTTGGAAATCCTCACGAAGTCCTAGCATCTCTTTCATTGTTTGCTTGCTTCTGAACTCGCCTGCTTCGCCGATCTTACTTCTATGCTATGTGGTTTTGTTGTGCCTCTATCACAGACTTGACAAATTGGAATTGCAGCGACCACACCTGATAGCTCTGGGCCTGAGTAGCTCGCATGCTCGCAGTGACAGTCGAATTTCCCTTTCCTCTGCGGCTCCACGTCTCCACGACTCTGGCTCCTCCAAGCCTCGCTTGAGTCGCAGCAGAAGTAGTCCGACATATTCCAGTGAAATCCTACGAGGTTGGCGAGATTTTAGGTTGGAATGTTTCTTTCACGCTTTAGCCCAAATATCATTCCAAATCCTTAGAAATCCAAGTCTTAAAAAATCCATAGGACCACATTGAGGATATCAAAATTTAAAAGGATTCTAAGAATCCTTTAAAAACCCTGAATTACTCTCACCTTTTAAATGAAAATGTAGGTGCAGTTGAACTGAAAAAAATATAGATTTAAATAAAAGATTTAATGGATCAAACCATTTGTGATATATCAATCTAACGCATTAACTCTTTGTAATTTAAAAAAAACATTGAACCCTCATGTGTTATAATTATTCATGCTAAAACCTTTTCAAGAAAAAATTTAACAATTTGAAAATCACTTGTCCTAATATTATGATTAAATATGCAAGTAAATTCATCAAGATTTCTAAATTTTGAAAAAATACTAATCTTTCTCCATTTATTTGGAAAATAAATTTGTTAATAGAAGGGGTTTTGCACATGAAAAATTATAACACAAGCAGTGACGGAGCCAAAAAAAATGTATTAGAGGGGTCGAAACTCAACTATTTACAAAAATGAAAATGGTGGATTGTTTTTAGATTATACCCTAGTTAAATGTTTCATATTTCATATATAGTTTGAATAATTGGTAGTTTAGATAAGACTAATAGAGTCATACATTTGATATAAAAGTCATATATATTGTTTTATACGAGTTTAGTCATCGGGATTCTGCACCGGTGGCTACATTATGTGAGACCTTTTGTCTTATCAGGGACTCTATAGTTCCCGTCTCATACAAATTAATACTCCGTATTAGGATTTCGTATGAGAAAAAATCGACTATTGAGTACATACTTGTAGCAATCAGATATGTTGTCATTGTTCTGTCTTTAAGTCATGTAACGTAAATAATGAGTGAATTATATGCTATTTTTAAAATTTGGAAATATAAATAATATTACGCGTCAAATATTACTCATTTCAAGTTTAAATAGTGCTGATTTTTCAGAAGTTATAACTTTTTACTCGTAATGAGTTACGGGAGGCATAATATATCAAATCGAAGCTATTTCACAGTTCTATACTTTCAAACTTTTAGGGAGGTCAGTTGACCCCCTGACCCACCCTTGACTCCGCCCCTGAACACAATGGGGTTTAATGTGTTTTTTAATCATATAGGCTAATGCGTCGAATTTACATATCATGAGGGTATGTGTTGTATTAAACCCTTAAATAAAAGTAAAGAAGTATACAATACGAGTATGTAAGAACATTTTCTAAAAAGGAAAACATAACCTTTGTATTTTGGACAACATAAAAAAGAAATACATAAATTTTATTTTGGGATAGAGGGGAGTAGTTAAAATCGAAGATGTGCCGAATCGTTCTCTATCGAATCGTAGTCTAGAGCCAAATTGTTCTTATAATGCGAAGATATAAAAAACTGCCCCATGAGCAAAAATTCCCTGCTCCGAACAGTTCATATTGTTAAAAGAGGCAATATGAAGGGCATTGACTGCTATATGGCCCACAGCACATGCAAATGCTGCATTAGTCAATGTTCACCAGCTATCCAATTCCCCTTTCTATTTTATTCTATTGCCAAGAGAGAATAAAAAGAATATGCATGCCAACTCCTTAAGTACACTTTACAATCAACTAATTACCATAGATTTAGGATATCCATGAGTATATATAATACTCCCTCAGTCCCATTTTGTAAAATATTTTTCCTATTCACTTGGTCAACAAAAATCACTTTTAATCTCTTACTTTATATATCAATTTTTTTCTCAAATTTGATTATGGTTTTGCGACTTTGTAAAGTTTTTAATGTAATTTTTGAATATGTAATTTCTTTTTTCTAAAAAGAATTTGAGCGCGGACAGGAATCCGTTTGTTTTATCGTCGATCAAACATCATAAACCGTAAAATGTCTTACAATTCAGGACATAGGGGGTATATTTATCTAAATTTCACCAAGTGAAAAGAAGTCGTGAAGTACTACAGTCTATATGTCAACTCCTGCATGGAATAACTACTAACCCTCTTTGGTTTTTTTTTCGGATCTTAGCAACTCAAACTTTTTGTACAAATAAGTAGTCCCAAACAGCTAAACACTGAGCAAGAGGGAATAAATGTGTATTAATTAGTTAATTAATATGAAAGATTACTCGTTCATAAGGCACACCAAAAGAGAGTTTTTGTGTGGAGAGAAACATCTTTTCAATCATGGAAGGAGGAAATCTTACGTGACACGCCATTAGATTTTTACGGGGTCCACTCAAAAGATTAATCACTTCCCTAATTGCTTTCTTTATCAACATTAGGAAGCTCCATCATTGCCTGTGGCATAAACAAATTGTAATAATGTGTGTATAAGGTGATGAGGCAATAATAAGTGGGATATTTCCCAAAATAGAAATAAAAACAATGTGAAATTCCAAAATGTGAAGAATGTGTTTTTCCCTAAATAGGAGTAAATTATTGATATGTTGAAATCACGCTGCCAAATTTTGACATTATTGATATGGTGGAATTAATGCCATGATCAGCTATATTTTCAAACATGACAGTAATTATTCCTATTTAAGAGATACACATAGTATACCTATTTTAGAATATCACATTTTTTACATCCTATTTAGGGCAGTTTCTGATAATAATAAATATGGAAGAGAGAAAAAGACTTTAGTAGCAGAAAGGTTCTCAGTTACATGGTATAGTTTCCATGAAATATAAGCATCTGTGGCAGCATAATCAAGTTGTTCCTCAGATAATATGTCAGTCTCCCAATTTCCCAATCTGATGAAATTCTCTTTAGGAAGCTGCAAGAATCCAAAACCTTCAATTGAATCTCACATTTAGCAAGAAGATGTCCTAATATCATGACTCAAACATGCAAAGTAAAGAAGCTCATAACAAGTTCCAAACAACCTCTTGGTGAAGGAGTTCTAGAGCTAAAGATGCTAAACTCCTTTTTGAAGGACCTCCATGAAGCTTTTGATTTGCCAGCGTAGACAGTTCTATTAAACTACTTACACATATATTATGATCTTTGAAAGCCTTTTTAGCATCGCTAGCAATGCCTACTCCAACCTGCACATTTATATCAATAAAACAACAATCACATGAGTTACTCTGTACTATGATACTCCGTATTTAAGAAGTAAAAACAGCAACACAAGTGTGGTACATTTTGTATACACTATACAGTAAATTCCAAAAGTTTTGAGACCAAAGCTGAACCTTTGGTATTGTGTTGTTCTCAAGAAGCAATTGTAGATTCTGGGAGATTCCAGAATGGAATATGTGAAAAACATAACAATTGTCCATGTCTCCACATATCTGCATAACAGCAGCCTTCCCAGGTGAAACACCTGCACAGAGAGCCATAATTCACCTATTATAGAAGACTGCCAGAAACTAGACACTACGACACATTAACATTGAAACAAAAAGAACCCCATACTTCTTAGTATTAACATATCGACAAACTCAAAATTATTAAAAACATTGTTCTCTGACTTTCTGATTGAGATTTCATTGGCAATAGATCATTTATTAATCAATTTTGAGTATTATGTAATTCAACTCTGCAAGTCAATTCAACTACTTTATTGCAATAATAATACACATTCTGCTAACATCAAGAATTCCGTCACTGCATATGTTTCCTCCTTTGCGATTTAACTTTTCATCAGTTGTGTACATTATGTTCATTGGCAATGGGCTATATATAATGTTCGATTAAACTTTCATAACATTTATTTTTTTAAGGAAATTTCCCAAAATAGGAGTAAATTACAATGTGACATTCCAAAATAGAAGTAATATATTTCTTTTCTTAAATAAGTAAATTATTGTCGTCCTGAAATGATACTGCCATCTTTTGACATTACAACGACAATTTTTAATGTCATAATTGGCAGTATTTCCCGAGAATGCCACTAATTACTCCTATTTAAGGAAACAAAATATAATACTCCGATTTTGGAATATCACATTGTTTTTAGTTATACTTCATGCAATTTCTGTTTGTTTTATTTGTCCTCTACAAACTGGGACAGGGAGGTTAAAAAGTGATGGCTTGCCCGTTGTTTAAATTCCAATTCTGAATAAAAATCTTGAAAGCTTCAATCAGAAAGCATACTGAAGGAAACATAACTTCCAGAACGACAGTATAACAAAAATGAAGAAATTCATAGTGTGGGTCAAACAAACAAACAAAAGGTTAATTAAGAGAAAGAGAATCTTATAAAGGAGCCAACTCTAGCTAGCACATAATTCAACTGTGATGAGCTCCTCTCTTATTCCATAAACTTGGCAAGAAAAGTTATCATCATATTTTCTTTTCAAGAATAATGGAAAGCAGACCTTTTATAAAACTAGGCTTCCATTCCATGTCAAATCCTAGAGCAACAGCCTCTTCTTTACTTCTCCTCTCTTCAACGAGATGGAGAATCTTCTCTGCCGATTTCTCGACCTGACACGCAGTTCTGCTATATATAACTCGGCCTCTAAATGCCAATCTTTGCAGCATCATAACTGAACTATTCAATTTTAGGCCCCTTAAAAAATGGAAAAAAAATTAACATTTTCAGTTGAACCAATCCAAGATAATTGGTGAAATTTATTTTATACTGGCTAGAATTCAATAATAAGAGCATGAAATGCACGTAAATTATGAACATTACACAAATAAAAATAATCTTAATTCTTACAGAAAGGGCACTTCAAAGATGCATGGTAAAAACAGTTACTTTTTTACCTTGATGTATACAAATAGAAATCGGTAAACGAGGAATTGGGGGATATAAGATAATTAGGGCTATTGCTTTAAAAGGGTCACAAACTACTTTCAAGCGGTTCCATTATAAATTACTCCGACAGTCCGTCCGGCGGCTTTTATACGACGAAGACAGCCATTGCGATGTTGGAAAAAACAACCGCGGAAAACAATCTGAACTGCTGGAGAACCAGAAATCTAAACCAAAAGGAAAATTATAATGTCTTTCAAGTTTAGACAAGCGAGAAAGACGAACATTGATACCACTTAATACTTATACCCATTAAAATTGTTATTTACCATTAAACAAATCCCTATCTGAAAACTTACCCGCCAAAACACAGTGGCCAATTGGGTGGTTTGCTTCAAAGTCGGAAATTGGGTTGCAATAACTGTCAATTTGGACATCTACCATTAGCAAAGGCGCAAATATAGATCCTTGCTCACATTTAGGCCCATGTCTAACAAGTTCACAAACAAAATACTCCCTCGGTTCCTAAAAATGCTTCCCGGTTTGACTTGACACGCTTATTAAAAAAGTGGAATAAAGTGGAAATGTATGATTGTGGTTGTGTATGAAAAATGTGAAATGAATGTGAACCACATAAATTGTCCAAAAATGGTAAGTGGGAAGAATTTTTTGGAACGGACCAAAAAAGAAACTGGGAAGGATTTTCAGGGACGGATGGGAGTATCTTATTTTCTCTGTGCAAAATTTGTCCACACATATTTTTGTTTGCGAACGGGATTCAGACAAAAAACAATTTTTGCACAAAAATGATGGTATCAAAATGGGTATAAAAATGAGTACATACATCATTTTTGCGCAAATATATCCAAATGCGAGCAATATCTTCTTTTTTGAGAAATAATAATACGGAGTACTACATAAGTAGTACGAAGTATAGTTTATAGTGTATTTTTCTCTATTATGAACAAATCTTGACCATAATGTATCCTTTACTACGTGGCATAAGAGTGAATATGTATTAGTTTCAATATGAGGACTATATTTTGTGTTGCAAATTTTGTGCACAGAAATATAATTAACATTTACGAAAAATATAATTTGCATTAATGGGAAATGCAAGTGAATCGAAACGTAAAACATACTAATGAAAATGTAACTTGAAACGGGTAAAGGCAATGCAAATCACGTGATTAAAATATAACCCACGTACTGAAAAATGTAACTTGTGTTACTTAAAATGTAATTTCACATAGTAACTTGGGTAAATGTAGCTTGCGTCTTTGAAATGTCATCTTACATTCTTACGTTGACACATGTAAGTTATGGAAACGATAAACTTTTAAATATGTTTACACAAAGTGCAAAAAGGAAGATAATACTCGAAGAAAAGTTGTATACCTTCAAATACAATATGAATCTTTTATTTTAGATAGATGAAACTTTAGGTATAAACTGATGTAGAAGAAAACCTATATTTATTTGGAAGAGAATTGAAGAATAAAAGAAACAAAAAAAAGAGAGAAAATGAGGAAAGAGATGAAAGACAGATTGGTGAAAAACATGAACGAATAGCCAATAAACAAGACAGGAGTGTCCACAATACTTTTATACATATAACTACATTATATTGAAAGTTATGTCACTTTTGATCCTCCGACTATTATGTCATTTACACTTTTGGTACTTTAGGAGCAACAAAAGTGGACATAGTTAATTACGGCAGTTTACGACCGCAGCAAATAGTAGTAACATTTTTATAAAGAAAATACATATTGTTGCAGTTAAGATACAACAGCAGCAAAAGACTACTAGTACATAAATGATGTTTCCATATTCATTAATAGCCAGCTCAGCCACTAAGCTATGCATATTTAGTCGTGGACTCGGGCCGAGTCGGGCCCGGGCCGGGCCTAGGTCCGGTCTGGCCGCCGGTTTGTATGACATGGGCCCGGGACCGGACCGAGGGTTGGACGGGTCCAGTTCGGACCGGGCCACCCGCCCGGGTCACGGGTCGGGCCACCCGCCGGGCCGGGCCGGTTAAAGATTTATTTTTTTATATAATTTATATTTTATAGTTTATAGTTTTATACAAGTATAAAAAACAAACTTCAAGTGTATTTATTTGAAATGAAATAGGAACTACATTTGAAAATTAAAACAAACTTCAAGAGACAAACATTTTGAAAATTGTAATCAATCGGAACTTCCCGTACCTCCCGATCCTTTGGCTTTGTCACATGACTTCATATGCTTCATTGTCATCCCGTATCCGCCTGAAACCCCCATGCTACATTTTTTCCCGCATCATTTGCAAGTTGCGTACCACATCCCGGTCTTCGGGTCCTTCTGCTTATCAAAATTATACCGTATAACGGCATCTTGATTTTCCATCTTAAGTATAAAGTAGATATATAAATAATAAATATAATATATTGGAGAACAAGAGAATTAGAGAGTAGAGAGTTGAGAATAGGATTTATGAAGAATTGGAGAAGAGATGAAAAAATATTTAAGATTAGGAGTATTTATAGGTTTTTTTACCCCCACCCCCCGGACCCCCCTGCACCCCACCCAACGGCTATATAGCCGTTTGGGTTGTCCCCAGCCCACCCCCAAGGCCATAACGGCTACTTTGGGGCCCAACAATTTTTTTTTTAAATTGGACCGTTGGACCCGGGCCGGGTCAACCTTTTCAGGAACCGTACCCGCCCCGCCCCGCCCCTCCCCGCCGGTTCGGGTATACACCCGGTCCCGGACCGCCCAACCGGGCCGGTCCCGGGCCCGCACAGTAGCGGGCCGGTCCCGGGCACGCACAGTAGCGGGCCGGGAAGGTCACGGGCCGAGTGGCCCGAACCGAATCTAACCCTATGCATATTACTATGGAGTAATAATATACTTCGTACTTCGTACTTGTTACACATAACAACAAAAATTTTAATTAGAATCTTCTCGCTTTAACATCCACTTTCTCACAACATCTGAAGCAACTCATTGTAGGAGAAAATAAAATCTTAATAAAATGTAAACTAAAATCAGTTGCACATGACCCACTTATATTCCCTATTAATTTCTCTTTAAAGTTCAGCAAAACCAGGCCAACTCAATGCAACTTCAGAAGCCTTTTCTTTCTTCTAGTTGTTCCCTCTCCAGTTGTGAATGGCTTCCTGTTGAAATAGAGTGGTCAAAAATCAAAATCACATGGAAAATATACATGGCTTTAATTGGTCAAAAAACAAAATAAGGGAAAAAATATACATGCCTTTAAAGAACTATTTTAAATGCTCTTTATATTGTCAATCAAATTACAAAGCAAGGTATTGCAAATTTATACTACCTCTGTCCCAAAAAGAACTTCTCATTTCAGATTACGATGTTTGACCGTCGATAAAGCAACTTGATCCCTGTTCATGTTCAGATTACTTTTAGTAAATAAAATTTACATATTGAAAAACTACATTAAAACCGCTATTAAGGCTGATAAAAAAAATATAAATTTGATAAAAAAATTGATATATAAAACATAAGATTAAGAGTAATTTAAGTTGACCATATGAATAGTGACTGTGAATTTCATTTTGGGACGGAGGGAGTAGTATAAAGAACTATTCTATATCAAAGTATCAAATTAGCTTTCTTTTCAGTCTTCATCCCCTATGAACCATACCTCCCACCAAAAAGAGTGCACCAGTTATCCAAAAGTTTACAACTTATCTGTTCAGCACCAGTACACTTCTATACTAAAGGTAGCTAATTAAGTAAAGCGTTAAACCCGCACGGGTAGCTCAGTTGGTCGAGTGGTGAGAGATTTGGAACAATGGACCAAGATTCGAATCCCCGCAGCGATCGGGTGAAGGTCACAGACCCTGAAATAAGGCTGGACCTCTGGTGCGCATGGGTGTATGGGCCTACTGCCATTCTGCTGACTGAGCCACCGTTACTAACCTCCCCATCATCCTGTCGGGTCGGGGTGGGGGCTCCTGGGGTGGGAGATTACACCTTTTTTAGGAACAACAAAGTAAAGCGTTAAAGCCCGTACACTTATATATCAAATCGGATGTGCATAAAATAAATAGATATTCGTATGCGATTCAGATTGAATAATCACCGAAGTGGAGTATTGCAGAAAATAATACTTCCTCTATCCCAAAAAGGTTCGCCAAATTGACTTTTCTTAAACAATGGCAATCAATTTTGACTAATGATATTGTTAAATACGAAATTATTTAGAATATGAAAATTATATCAAAATGTTCTTTATTCAAAATTATAAAAGTATAAAACTTATAAATTATATGCAAATATAATATGAAAATCATTGTCCAAAGTTTGTCATAGTTGACCAAGAAAAGTCAATATGTCAAACTTTTTTGGGACGGAGATAGTAATTAATGAATAAGAAAAACTAACATTGCAAAATTACTACATATAAACATAAACACAAATATAAATTTTTTAAATTAGTACAAATATTAAACTTTCATAAAATGAGAAATGATTTAAGCAAAGAAATTGAGATGATAAAATATTTAGAAATCGACCTTTAAAATGAGAAGAGGCGGCGGCCAGAGGGAAGGTGACGCAAGAAGCGGCTGAAGTTGAAGTGGTGGCTTGTTTTCAAAACTAGGAAGGAGGCTACTATCGGCTAGACTGGTACAGAAGGCGACATCGGCCAGACTGGGAGGGCACCAACGGCATCTATGTGGGAGGGCGGCGATGAATTTTTCCAATGAAGGTGGGGCCGTGTGGGCTTGTTCTCTAGACTGGGAGTCTCCATGGCGACGGGTGCTTGTTTTCTAGATTAGGAGAGACGCCAATCGAAGGCTCTCTCTCGTAGGGGATCGGCCTAGTTCTCAGATTGCCACTGAAGATTTTTAGGTTGAGGGGATCTTGTATGTTGTACACGGTTAGGCATGGCAATGGGTGGGGCGGGGCGGGTATTGCAAGACCCGGATCCGCCCGTGACTTGGCAGGGCGGGTCCGTCCAGCCCCGTGACTTGCACGGGTCCAAATTTGTTGACCCATGACCCGCCCCATGCGGGGCGGGGCGGGGCGGGTCCGCTCCGTTCCGCCGTAACCTAAATAGCTAGTATGTATTTTTTGTGGGAAGTTGTTACCAATTGAATCTACATAATGTTTATCTCTAAATAATAATTAAAAATCAATATATTAAATCAAATTCATGATACGCTAAAAATTTCAAAAATTAAGGAAAAATTACTCAAACTTGAATAGTTTATCTTATTAGTTATATTAATAATTGAATATATGTATTAAAATTATATATATAAAGAAGACATTGATAATCCGTCGTGCATCTCATTATAATATATACTTCGTATAACCATATTCATATATTATAAGATCAAAGAATTTATGATTTATTGTATATACACATATGTATGTATGTTGAAGTATATTTATAGTACTATAATTTAAGAAAAAGTATGTTTACTTATATATTCAGCGGGTCGGGTCGGGGCGGGTCGGGTCGGCACGGGTCAATTCTAATACCCGGACCCGCCCCATTGTATAGGCGGGGCGGGGCGGACCCGCCCCATTTGCAAGACGGGGCGGGGCGGACCCGCCCCAAATGTCTCGGGCCAGGGCGGGTCATTGCGGGTCGGGTTTTTTTGACATCCCGGTACACGGTAGACCTTAAGGAAGAGGGAAATAGTGAAATTTTACAGTAGTATTTGATGGGATTCTACGTAAGCCCGCAGCAAAAAGGGGGGAAAATCAAAATTCAAAATATTACAAGTATTTGATGCGGTTCAGACACGACCGTAGCAAAAAGTTTCAAATTTTGTAACTTTTTAATGCGGTTAAAGTAGAACCGCATCAAATACTTATATTTTTTGACCATTTGATGCGATTTAGTTAAGAAGCGCATCAATTGATTAGCAGCAAATAAGGAAAATTCTAGTAGTGCTTTGGCTTTTTTCACTTTTGTCCTTGACTATTGTGTTAGAGACACTTTTGATACTCGCCTTTGAAAATTTTCATCTTTAGTCGTACAATTTTCATAGAAGTGAAACTTTTGGTCATTCAACTATTATAATAGTGACATTAGTGACATTTGTAGTCATCCACTTGTGTCAAATTTATAGTGGAAGGACTAAAAGTGTCAACTTGATAATACTCAAGTGACTAAATGTGAGAAACTTTGAAGTCCCTTAGAGCGCTGTAGCTGCAGGTCTAGCTCTTTATACACGTACGGCGTTGGCGAGGACCTGAAGGGGGAGTGTAAAGGACTAAAAGTGTCTCCAGCACAATAGTCGAAGACTAAAAATGAAAAAAATAAAAGTTGAGTATCAAAAGTGTAACTGACACAATAGTTGAGGAACCAAAAATGAAAAAACTCTTCTATTGAGGACCACTTGAATAGTTCTTTCTCTAAAACTTTTGTACATTTATGTTCATATGTATTGTTGTTATTGAAATTACATTTGCAATTGTTCATGTTTTTCTCACAATGACCTGGTCACCTGGTTATTATTGTGTTCTTTTAATCTGTTCATCTATTTGAAATTTATTAAGGAAAAGATCATGTAGAGCCAAGCGGTCAGTTTTTTACTAGAAGGCACCAAGGCAGAAGCCATACCAAACTTTTTCCAGTTCCTCTATGGGACCAGACCATACTGTTTTCATTTTTTAAATAGACTAAAAACTGATCAGGAGCTAGTCTCAAAAACCCGATCCTAGCCTATTACCTCGCTCCCAGTCTTAAGAAATGCTGTAATCGGACCAGAACCAAACATTGTTCATCTTCAGTGGTGCCCCGTTCCCCTTTCTAGTGCCGCATTGGGTCCAAACCTTACTAATGACATCGTATCTATTGACAAGCATTCTGAAACCTCATATGGAGTGTTTTTTCATAGCTCCCCAAGGTCATGCTACACAACATCTTTAATACCGATTATGGACAGACCGAGTGACCGACAGTCATTTTTTTGCACACACTATCAAGAGACGCCATGCAGGTCTGTGAGTGATATGCTCAGAAAAATAGTCTGTGTCTAAGGTGATGTAAGAATAACAATTCCGTTTCTTTAAACACTATACCACTTCAAATGTGCCGCTCTCCCAACTAGAGCCATTGTGTTTCAATTTGACCGGTTCTAAACCCAGCTGTTAATTAACTGACGTTTATCATATTTCAATTTTTAGAGTGGCTCAAATCTGAAAAGGAAATAAGAATGCAGGATGAGTTATGTAATATTTACCAAACAAAGCCCTTTGTGCTGTATAATGTTCCAATCTGGAAACAACAAAAAACATTTAAGGACCAGATCGACCAGAGTGGCTGCTAATCATTGCCAGACTTGACAAGTTACACACAAAAAACCAGGCATGTTAGATGAAAGTCAAATGAGTGAGAACTGACAAGTGCCAACCTTGCTTCACTTTTCCGCCTGCCCAAAGTACCTCCCAGATATTGTTGCCAAAAGATTGAGCATAATAACTTCATCATCCACTGTTGTTTTTTCAGCTCTCAAGCTTGCACATTTGCGGAGCAAAGATCTAAGGGCAGCTGAGGTGTCGGCATCAAGTGGAGAATCAACAGCTGCGCATAAAGCGAATAACCACAGGCAATCATCCCTTGAAGCTGTGGTTGTCGTTTCAAAGACAGCAATCCGCTTTCTAAGCAATGAAGCTCGAGTCACCGGTTCCATCCCTGAAATAGCTGAAAGTGAGGGCCAGGGATTTTTAAGAGCATTCTTGTCACCTTCATTAGTTTGGATGTGATCATCTCCTGATGTTGTGTTACTGGTATCTTCAATGATGCCTTTTGTGAGGTGATGTGATGATTGTTGTTCCTGATCAACATAAGCTGAGAACAATGGACTAGAAATGCTAACATCAGGGCCTTCTATTTGTGACAAAGCCTGAAAAAGATTAATGTAAAAATTACTTCCTACTTAGCCTGAAAGTGTGTCCAGACTCCAGAAAACATGCAAATGGAGATGTACAGTAAATACCAAACTTAGACAGGAAAAAGAACTCTGACTTAAATATTCTCAATACAAGAAATGACAGTGATCAATTAAGTATGTACCGAATCCATAAATACTAAGGGTATGTTTGAATCCCGAAAAAGTCTAGGGAAAAGGGTAAAAGCGATGGTTTTTTTTCGTATGTATAGTTTTACCATGGGATGCTCAGTAAATGAAACGGTATTATTGATATATTCTTTGTAAATTCAAACTCGGATATAAATATATATATATATATATATTATATAGAGGGCAGTTCGTATCAGGCCGGCTTGACGGGAACCGCCGTCAGGCCGAGGCCATCTGGGGCCCTTCCCGGTGTAATTTTTCGATGAAATTTTTTGAGCATGTTCTTCATCAAGTGTAGTTTACTCATACCAAATTCCAGCTAAAAAATAAATCGGGAAGGCATTCAATTAAATTATTTACAAAAACTGTGCTTTATATATATAAACAGCGCTGTTTGTTCAACAATTTATTTGACTGCCTTCCCGATTGAATTTTTACCTAAAATTTGGTATGGATAAACTAGACTTGATGTAGAACATATTCAAAAAATTTAATCGAAAAATTCCACCGGGAAGGGCCCCGAAAGACCTCGGCCGGACGACAGGATCGCTACAGGATGCTCAGGTCCAGCAGTTCGGACAGGAGCCGCCGTCCGAACGCCGCCGTTTGGGGCGGTTCCCGGTGGAATATTTGATGAATTTTTTTGAGCATGTTCCTCATCAAGTCGACTGCGTTTTTAGTTGACTGCGTTTTCTATGTATAGTTTGACAAAGTTAACTTCAAAAAACTATTTGACCGTCTTCCCGGTCGAATTTTGAGCTGAATTTTTTTTGTGAATAAACTAGACTTAATGAGGAACATGCTCAAAAAAAATTATCAAAAAATTCCACCGAGAGCCGACCCAAACAGCGTCGTTCGAACGGAGGGTCCTGTCCATCCTGCTGGACAAGACCATTCCTATACACACACACACACGAAGTATATACATACACACACATATTTCTGGGTGTTTATATAATAAGTATAAAAAAGAAATTGACTGTCAAGTATGTCTGATTTCTTTTTACTGAATTTTAGCCTATCCTTTACTTTCCCACATTTTTTCTTTAATTCTAATTTCTAACTTTACTCGATGTTTTCCTTCATGATATATTTCCCTTGTACTTTACTGGATTCAAAAAGATCCTAAAGATATGTTTGAATCGTGAAAAAATGTAAGGAAAAGGAAATTGGGGAGTAGTCATTTTCTTGTGTTTGGTTTTACCTTGGAAAATGCAAAAGAAAAAGAAATATGATTGATGTTTTTGTAAGTCTCATATCTTTAAAGCTTTCAGTCTTTTTTTAATAGAACTATATAAATTTATAAAACAAGTTTGAGCAAAATAGCAAATATTAAATAAATGAGTTTGAACCAATCTTTTATTTACACCAATATTTTATTCTCCTCCAAATCCCATGTACTTCCCTCAACTACTTCAAACTACTTTCTTTCCCTGACATTTTCTGAGCTCCAAGCAGACCGTAATGAATATTACTCCCTCCAAAATACAAATACAAAAGATTCCTAATAGACTAATAGTAAAGTAAATTGCAGAAATCAGTCAAGCGGGACACCGGTTTTGAGTATTGATTTCTTGCATCAATCATTCAGTTATTTTTCTTGTCTTGCAGCACCATGAGAAGAGGGGGATTAATACATGCTCCGTATCATTTTACATGTGGCATTGTGGCTTTTAACATTTTATTAGACAACTGCAAATTCTTACCAGTAAGGATAACTTCAAATGCTTGCAGATTCTTAAGAAGATGAAGTCACAATGTTGTATTTTTTTGTAGCAGTTAAATTCGGTACTTACCAAGGGATTACCGGTGCAGCCTTGTACTAAAATCCAACATCGAATTTCAAGAGACTCAAGGATTGATTCACTTAAAAAACATGAGACATCCTCATTTTTCGTATTTAACAAGGGGGTGTCAGGTTTTATGCTCCATAATACCAAACTCTTTAGTCTATACTTACAAATAGGAAAAATTTGGCCTAATCATAATAGGCTAATATCATAAAGTGATTGAGACCCATCCACAACCTAACCCCCATCCTCTAAAATAAGCAATTAAGAACCATTGGTGATGAAAGCACATGGACGAAATGTTTCTATACAAGTGAAAAAAGATAAAAATACCAGTCTCAACTGTGAGAAATCAGCAAGGAACTCATCCTCCCACTCTTTAAGGGGTAGTAAGTGCTCTGGGCAAGTCGCAATATCGGGAATACAGGGCATATAAACACTCTGTTCTTTCTTTATCTTGCTTCGCTCAACCTTGGAAACCTTCACTTTTGGCAAACGTTCTGCTTCCCACCTAGGATCATTGAGGCCATAAATAGAATATACAGAGGTACAATAGAGTACATGGATTGGTAAGTTCATAGATATATCAAATGAAATATTCTGTTAGATGATGTATATCCCACTACTCCACATTACACTTTTCTAGTTATTGCAAGTCAGATTCTTATTTCTAGCAACACTTGTATAGCCTTCATAAACACTAATGAACTGACCATACTATGACCAAACCTCCCACCCTCTCAACAGAAGTAAAATAAAAAATGTACTGTATGAGAAAAAGAAGAAGAAGCAACAGGGATTCATATGACTTGCAAATGAATGAGCATAGATGACAATTTGACAACCCCATAAAGAGGATATCATGTTTTAATGGCCCAATTTCCTAATAAAACACATGAGGTCGCACTGAAGGTGTAAAACTCAGCCTCAATACTGTCTTCGAAAACTTACCCTTTAATTAAGGTGTGATGTCCTACTTCCCTACTTACGATCTTGGTCACCATTCACCAGCATGAGAGCTCATAATAACAAATTCAGTGTAAAAACACACTACTACTTAGATTTTTTACTAAACAAAGTATCAATGACTTAATGTCCTGACTTAGTACAATAGATATAGAATTGCTTGTTTCAATCTTCAATTAACAAAACAGGAGCATGAAGTACTTTTTATATGCTATCATGTCAAATTGATTGATAAAGTATAAAAATACATATATAGACTTCTGAATTTGCAATAGCTTGAAACATATACGAAGTATAAGCTATTAGTCAAAACAGGATCTTGAGCAAATCATTTGAACAACCAAGTGAATAAGCAAACCTTGAAGTATTATAACAGTATATAGTTTGCATATAATGAGAGGAGTACTTTTATGTTTGAAGGATATGTACCTCACACGCCTGAGATATTCTAATCCATCTTCCGGAGGACCTGAATCAAAGTCGGGTTCTCCCTCAACAAAAAATGCAGGCCTTTGGATACTACTATAATCATCATCACTGTCATCATAGTTGGTGTTCTCATTTTCATTGCTCTCCTTCTGGCCCCCAAAGATTTCTGAAGTACTACTATCACCTGAGTTGCATAGTGCATTAGGCTACTATTAGCTATATATACATTCAACAAATTGAAAACCATCTTAAAAGACCTCAGTAAATTAACAAGCGTGTGTTGCACACTTTCATTTTATCCCTTTACAACTTCAGCAACGGCAGATTTAAGGGAAGGGAGCTAATAATTTGCGTATGAGCAAACATAGAATAAGAAACAATACCAAATGAGACATGGCCTCGAGACTTGCCTAGCTGTCTCCGTGGATCAAAGTCCACTAGATTTTTCTTCTGGTCGGTAGAACGAAGTAGGCCATTATACTCCTTTTGCACATCGAGCCCTAATCCACTGTAAACCTCGATCCACTTCTTCCTCTGCTCTTCGACATTCAAAAACCTCATTGCTTCCAATTCCTTCCTGGTCAACTTTCCTCTGACTTGATAATCCTCCGCAGCAATATTAACAACGGCAGTATTACTCTTTCGCCTTGGCTTGTTCATTCCTTCTTCTCCTCCGATTGGATTCTCAAAATTACCCGCAATATCCTGCTGCAGGGTGCTGCGGGAATGAAGGGCTGAATACTGTTTCGCTTCGGAAATGGCCATTTGAAGAAGTTTATCTTCTTCGTTATCGTGGTCAAGGGTGTGCAATGAAGGAAGATTTTCTTCGGTGTCACTCGCCATGTCCGTTCCTTTCTGAGACTGACCTTCGGAGTATGATCAACTAGCCCGGGAGAACAGCCGCCATGTGGGGTTTTGGGTTTTGCACAGAGAACAATCTAATCGACTTGCCTCAACTTTACAGTTTACTCTTGTTAGGGGTGTTTTTTGATTCTGATGTTGCCTCAACTTTATAGTTTACTCTTGCATAGAGAACAAACTGATTTGCTCCTTGAAGGAGCGGAAGCAGAAATTGGAGTGTTTGAAGAAAAGTGCATAAGTGATTCTGATGCTCTAATTTACTCCGAGAATCAGTTTTTTTAGAAGCCGGGGGTGACCAACTTCTGAAAATAGATTCTGAATCTGATTCCGCTTTAAAAAAGAAGCAGAAGCAGAATCAGTTCCAAACAACCCCTTAGAAGAGATATCAAAAAATCTTTTTTAAAAGAGAAAAAATCACTATAGGACAAATCTTTGCGCTCAAAATAATTGAATGCAAAATTTACAGAATCAACTACTATGTAGAGTGTCAACTAGTTGTAATCGATGCAAAAAATGTTGACTTTAACATAGAACATATATAATAGGAGGTTAGAAAGTCTTGCCAAAAAATATTACTCCCTCTGGTTCTTATTAAAGTTCCCACTTTCCTTTTCGAGTCGTCTCTTATTTAACTTCGTACTTCTATTTTAGGAATGTTTTTTAGGGTAAAAGAAATAAATATCCCCATCCCATTTACCTCATTTACTCCATTCACCTACCCCACCCATATAATCCCTCTGCCACCGCCCCATTTACTCTCTCCTACCCACCCCTCCACTCATTTTCTTTCGTTCTGGTAGCATCGCCCCATTTACTGACCTTCTACCTTCTCTCTTCTGCCGGTCCCCTTCTCTCTTCTCCAGTGTGCCCCCTCCAGATCTATCTCCTCTTATTTGCCTCCTTTGTTGCCCCCTTCTCAACGGTTAACCTAACCTTCATCCGACCACCAATAATGGATGGAACTCTCTCCAAACGAAACCGTCCTGTGGCCGGTCCGAACGCTGATAAAAAGACTGTTGGGCTTACGAAACGTGTTCGCAAATCAGAACCTGAGTCAGGTCTGAATGGTTTGAAATCCAATGAAACCTCACATCTGCACAGTCAGCCATGTTCGAATCCACCTTTACCCTTTGATGATGCTGAACATGCAGAACCCCTACAAGATTTTTTACCATTTGTTCGGTTTGGTCCTGAAAGCAAGGACACAGACCCTTATTAGCGGATGAGGAAGAAGTACGGCTCCTTGTTGGTGAGTGATACGTATTCAGGACTGGATGGCTTGGAGGAAGATGGCAAAGAGGTGACATCAGCATTCTTTGAGAGGAATGGAGGAGGGTCAGAGGCGAGCTATACTGCTGGGGGAGATGAGGAGTTCGGTTTGGACTCTAAGGAGCGCATATGAGGTTCACAGTTCTAAGGGCAGTGATCCGTCTATTTCCCTGTGTAATTTTGTTGCATGTGTTATTTTCTTCCCTCGTGTGAACCCGTGCATCCTTCTGTCCCCTAGATTGTAATGTGGAAACTGATGATGATTAGGGGCTTTGAGTTTAACACTTTGTGAATTTCTGCGTGGTGATGTTGTGAAATAATGTGTGGTATGCCATTCTTGTGCTTTTGTGTACTTGTGCAGCCCAGTGAGTAAGTGCAGGAGGCCAGGTTACACAAAAAAAACAAGATAAACGTTTCATTAGACATTGCAAAATATTTTGTCACGCGGTTCATTGTGAAAGTGTGCTAACACTTGCACATGTAAGTACACCAAGTAACTGTGCTTACAAGCAAGGAAAGTACATACAAAAAAAGTACACTTACATTAGGCAAAAAAAATGTGTACTAACAATATCCTAGCTTCATTAATCCTCATGTAAGACAGTTCATAGTTGAAGATCCAGATTATCTTCATCTGTGAACTGAGTCCCTGCATTTTCAGCTGATGTGTTTGTTGCTAGTAGTCCATCCAAATGTGTCTTTGCTGGTCAATAAACCTCTTCACTGATCTCGATATTGGTGAGTAATAATCCCTTTCTTTCCAACTTGTCTTTTCCAATATGTTTGAGTTTGTAGTTATTTCCACCATTATGCTTCAGAATCTCTTCCATGACAAGTTGATAACTTAAGAACACCTTATTTAGGCACTGATGTGTTAACTCATCATATGTTGTTTGTACTGATTCTATTAAATCTTTGATGGATTTTGGGGCTTTTTATCTTTCAAAGAGTCAATAGCCCTAAAAACCCAAGTCAAGCACATTGAGATCAGGGCTGTTTGGTGGCTGACAACGAAGTTGGGTTTTCCATCCATCTTCTGTCCCACTTTTGAAAAATTCAGCATCATTCACTTGTAAATGTGGTCTAACATTGTCATGTTGTGTGATAACCTGTTTGTTTGCATATGGCCACCTTTGTTTGATAGCTGGTATGATTTTGTTTAAAATCATGTCCTTTATGACTGGTCTGGTCACACTTGTAGTGGCCTTGGTCTCTAAGGTCCCGACAGGTCTGTTTTTGCTTCTCCTCTTTGTTGTGTCCTCATACACAAATGGGAAAATACCAATTTTCCCATCCCATAATACCTCCCCAGTACTTCCCAGCCTAGGCCTACCTACTGCAACAATGAACATTATTTTTGGTATGAAATTTTTGGACTGCGCAGTTCTGTATGGGTCTTCTTCATTTGGTAAGGTGTAAAAACATGTTGTTTCTTTAGAAAGATAGAACCACTTCTCATCTATGTGTACATGGTCATATAAGTCATGAAAAGTGTGGGTAAATGGTAATGAATGAGGCAGGATATGACTGAGACAAAACTCTAACCTTTTCTTCGTCCCCTCTTCTTTCAACAAAGGCTTAATTGCATTAGAATGCCTTTTTATTTTCTTTGCCTTCAACCAACGCTGCACAGTTGTCTTTGACACCCCCATTGCATATGCCAAAGACCTCATGTTTTTTCTATTCTTCAAAGGAACCTGTGACATCTTTTCCATGTCAAATTGAATTCGTTTTGGTCCCACGTTACCTGTCCATTTGCTCTGCACATTAATGGCAGCTCCACACTACATATGTGCCTTTGCTGTCACCCACAGTTTGTGTACAGTCCTTGTAGAAATGTTAAACTCCTTGGACACATTTGTAATAACGCCCCTCTGAAGTTTTCCATCTGTTGCTTTGCTTAGTAGTACCTTAATAATCCGCCTTCTTTGTTCTGTTGTTTTCTCCGACCACGTTTTCTTGACTATGTATTGTGGCTCATTTTCTTATGCTATGTCTTCCGGTGCAAGTATCAGTTGAAGAATATGGTTTGTGTCATCTTGTAGAGGTGGGACATTAAGATCAAAGGATTCAGAAGATGTTTCAAAAAAGGAACCAAGAGGGGTGGCAGAAGAAGAGTGCAGAAATGAAGAACTTTCCATTTCATGTGAAGAAGAGAGTGTGAAGATAGTGTGTGGTTGGACCGAGCTCATGGGGTGCTTTATGTAGTGGTCACGTTTTTTAGAAGGGAAATGTCCTCTTAAAACTTTCTATTTTGGGTTTTGGAGGGAAGTGAAATGTCATTCTCTTTCCTCAAAAGTTTTTTTTGGACCGTACTTATGTAAATAGAACCAGACACTTTACTCTCTTTCATCTTACTTTATTCTTCTTTTTTCCTTTGTTTTACCGTGCCCCACCATTTACTTTTACCCCACCTATTTATTGTTTGTTAAGGGTATAAATGGAAAGTCAAAGGCAATTACTTTTCCACCTAAATAATTGTGAAGTCCAACTACGAACTTGAATAAGAACTGGAGGAAGTATGTAAACTAAATTATACTACGTACTTCGTACTACCTCCGTCCCATAAAACTTGTCCAACTTTCTTTTTTTGGCCGTCCCAAAAAACTTTGTCATTTCCTTTTAAATTAACAAATATGTGGTTAAAGTTATCTCTCTCCTATGCACAAATATCAACCACACAGTTTTTACTTTATTAATCTACGTGCAAGTCAACATTGGTCAAGTTTTATGGGACGGAGGGAGTATTATTTAGTTAGATGTTTGATTATTTTCAAATTGTATACAAATTCGTTGCATTTTTTATAAAAAAAACATTTAAAGTAATGTATCACCTTCTTGTAACGTAAAATATTTTAAATGATACAGTGTGAAATGCTTTTAAAAATTGTCTTATAGATTACATTAAATAATCAAGTCAAATAATGTAAATCCTTTACGTTCCTACAATTCGCGCTCAAAGTGATTATTTTACATCTTACCAAACGTCCTTAGAGAAATTTATGGAACCAAGTCTTTACCAAGACATATGACCCCCAATATAAAAATGAATGGTTATTGGAGAGCCATATCTTACAAGGGCTCGGGTGTGCACAAATTAGTAAACCGATCAAATCAAACCACTACCGAATTTTCGATACCTACCAAACACCAAAGCAAAAAATGGAATTTTGTTGGTTGTGTGTGCGCGCTGGGTTAATACGTCAGACAGAGGTGCGGCCCATTAACCCTGAGCATGAAAGTCATCAAGGCCCATTTTGGGGGCAGCCCGACGAGGAAGCATGTAGGACGCTCATCCTATCGTCTAAGACGCTCGGCCTGTATGTCCTTGTCCAAATGGAACCAGCTGACGAATCAAGAGCCTCGGGGAGGGCGCTCAATATGGCCCGAGCAGCGGGCCCGACCTTAAGCTTACTTTGGCCCAAGCCAGAAGATCAAAGGGGACGCTCGTCCTGAGCCCTTGGCGGGAAAGCAAGATATTGGAGGGAAATGCATTAAATGCAGTATATTTGGTGGTTAGGAAGCTAGTCACTCAAGAACCTCCACATCACCATTACTACCTGTCTCCCCCATCCATCGCATGCAATCGTTCGGGGAATGAACGGACGAAACTCAAAGGAAGGTTGGGGCCTTTGAATAAAGAGGGTTCTCACTAGGATCCTCCTATATATATATATAGGAGGATCCTAGTGAGAACCCCCTTTAAAATGAGAACTCATTATAGATGAGAACTTTTAATCAACACCCTTAATTTATGGAATCAAGGGCTAAAAATCCTAGAATCAATATGGTGACATTTTTGTAATAACTCTACAATATTTACAAAAAAGACCCCATTTGAGTTTTCAATAATTACGCAAAGTATCCCATGTGCATCCTACTAATGTTTGAATAAAATAAAAGGCTGTGATTAAAAGTTCTAACGATAACAAGTTCTCGTTGTAAGATTAGTTCTCACTAGAAGTCTCCTCTCTATCTCTAGACACACACACACTTTGATTTTTGGTTTTTACTAAACACTAAAATAATATGTATATATATATATATATATGAGTCATTCTCCTGTCCAGCACTTTTCTGTCCGAACGTCGTCCGAACAACGCCGTTTGGGGTGGTTCCCGACGGATTTTTTTAATGAAATTTTTTGAGCATGTTCCACATCAAGTTTAGTTTATCCATACCAAATTTCAGCTCAAAATTCGAGAATGGAGGCAGTCAAATAATTCATTGCAGTCAAATAAGGTCCTGAATTGATACAAGTTCTTAATATTTTGATGATGTACATTAACTATGAAATGTTATGCTACTTTAATATTATATAATTACATTTTTTAAAATTTTTTATTGGTTTGACTTACATTAAAGTAGGGACCCCGTGACTCCGATTTTCTGGGTCCGCCACTGCCGCCAACCATAGTGAAGTCCACATAGTAACGTGGACAAAGTGACGTCCCCAGGGTGACTCCACCGTGACTACCCCACCAGCAACTCCTGTCACCACTTCCCAACCCTTTCTTAACCCCAGCAACAGTCCCCTGCCCAAACCCACGCCCCCGACCATAGCCCCCTCCCGTACTCCCCTGCCCCCATTCCTTCTTAGGCGCCTCTCTTGCATAGAGGACGAGGGAACTGACATCGGCTACCTCGAATCGGAATCATCGCCCATTGAGGTTGGCGAATGCGGAACCAGATGCCCCAAATCGGAGTCATTGTCCCTCAAGGACGGCGGAGCGACACTTGCGGCCCCAAAATCGGATTCATCGGTGGCACAACATCGAGGAAGACAGATCTGTCGGAGGCATGGCCATTGAAGACGACAGGCAGAGAAGATTGCACTGACGAAGAAGAAATGAGGATCGGAGAAGAAGAATTGCGGCGTTGCGGCGCAATGGCGGTAGTAGGAGAGCGGCGACAACGGAGAAGAGGTCATATGGAGGAAGAAAAATCGCAGATGTATAAGAGGAGGAAGATGCGCAAATGTATACGAAGGAAGAAGGAAGAAGCGTAAATGAGTTCCCGTCACTTTTTTGGAAAACAAAAAAGGGTAATATTTTGGGAACTGGAATGTTGTACGGTAATATTAGAGTCATTCTTTCATGACGATGATGATATTAATAATAATACTACTCTTATTCCTAAACAAGTTCAACATTTGACTTCACACATATTTAAAAAATAAATTTGATTTTATTGTGTAGTACACTGTTTGGCACTGTTTGAACACAGTTTGACATTTTTTAACATTGTTTGACACTGTTTTGATGTAGATAATAAGGAAATATTTGAAAGCGAAACTTAATTTTGAATCTGCCCGAAAAGGAAAGGTGAAACTTGTTTCAGAAACGGATAGAGTATTATAATAGGGAGAACTAACAAATAAGCCCTCGGACTTTCATAAAAAGTGCAAATAAGCCCTTTCATAGGATGTTTTATTCGGCTGTCGTCATTTGTGGCGGTTTACTGTTGAATTTTTTGATGAAATTTTTTGAGCATATTCTTCATTAAGTCTAGTTTACTCATACAAAATTTTATCTAAAAACTCAATCGGAAAGGCAGTCAAATGAATTTTTGAAGATAACTGCGCATTTATGCAGCGCAATATACTTCAGAAAATCATTTGACTTCGTTCTCGATTGCGTTTTTAGCAAAAATTTGGTATGGGTAAACTAGAATTAATGAAGAAGATGGTCTAAAAAAATCATCAAAAAATTCCAATGGAAACAACCCTAAATGGCGACAGCTAGACAAAGTCTCATGTAAAAAGGCTTATTTGCACTTTTTATAAAAGTTCGAGGGCTTATTTGACAGTTCTCCCTATAATAATAATAATAGTAATGATGAAATTGATGATGATGATTAGAAAATAAAAACCTAAAAAACATGGATCGTAAAAACATGCATGGCTTTCGCCTCAACTACCTCTTTGCACCATCAACTCCGATCACCGGGAAAAGGCCAACATATGTGAGCAATGTCATCCTCATGCCAATTTTTGAAAAAATGTTGACATTTTTAGAGAAAAGCATCTATCTTTTTCAATGTATTTTATCTATTTTTTATTTATTTTAAAGTTTTTAATTATAAATGTTGACATTTTTAAATTTTTTCTTTTTTAAAAAAAATTTAATTATTGTTTATTGTTTATGATTTATTTATAATTTTTTTATTGTTTTATTACATATTAAAATATGATTTCCCATTAAGTTTTGGTAAGAATAGAATAGGATGGGGGGATATTTAGAATACCTCAACCTTTGAATGAGTATGAGATGAACACCTCAAACTTGCATATGTAATTTAAATACCTCACACTGTACATAGAAATTAATTTTATCACCACAGTCGGTGATAGAGTATATAAATAGAGAGAAGTGAGAGTTAGAGAGAGAAGTGCAAGTAATGCTTCAATAGAATGATTTTGTAACCCCTATAACTACCTCCAGAGGAAGTATTTATAGGAAAAATACGGGCTAGGCTCCCATGTCTTGGGCTTGGGAGACCCATTTACAACTGGACCGCTATTGGGCAGAATACAGAGCCACTGGTGGGCTATATAAATGAATAAGTGTAAAATCCGGTTCTGTGAGACTTCCGTGGCCGACGAGGGTCTTGGCCGACGAGGGCACGGCCGACGAGGACACCCTGGTTTCCTGACTCCAGGATCATATTCTGAGTTGGTCCTTCTTCGGCCGACGAGGGTCTTTGGCCGACGAGGGCACCGCGTAGTGGTTGTGCTTTCTGTTCTGAGTATGTGGGTCCTGGGGCCTAGACCCATATACTCCATCAGGAGTCCCACACTCTCTAAGTTGAGATGTAGACGAAGCGAGGGAGAGTAGATTCCTGTGCTTGATGCTTCTTGGCCGATGCGGGACCACGTTGGCCGTTCCCTGTTGTGGCGTTTGGTGGCCCTGTTCTGAGTTTGGTCGTTGCCTGCCCCCTGATGCGGACGGGGAAGGCTATTGTTCCTTTGGTGTGCTTTGTTTGTTGGATGATGAGTGTTCTGGCACTAGTGGCCGATGAAGGTAGTGCCTATCCTTGGTTGTTGACTAGGTAAGTTTCCCCTTTGGGCTGGTGAGGTCGTAGGGGTTGCGTCTTTGTTTTGGGTGGCCGATGAGGGCACTGCGCATTCCTTTTGGCCGTTGTTGATGATGCCCTATGTTTTTGGACGAACAGGCGTTGTGTTGCCCAAGGTTATTGGGGATGATAACACTGTCCGGCCGAAGATGAAGTTGTGAGGACCTCGGGGCCGTTGCGCTACATGGACGACAGTGATTTAGGTATGTTAACCTTTCTCTTGATTCCTGGCTTGAGAGTGATGTGTGGTTTCAAGGCCGATAAGTGTCCTGTGATCTCAAGCTTTGCTGTGGCCGAAGGTGCACCATGATGTTATGGACGTTGTGGTGCATGTCTTGATACTGTAGTTGTGGACTTGGTGTATTTTTTGGATTTCTTTTTATTTTGCCTGTTATTCTTGAAGCCGGTGTAGTCCCCCAGTCCCCCACTGCTTCAGGGCGAAGAGTGAGTGAGGGGTGAAGGAGTAGATTGAAACCTAGGCCGAAGTGGGATCCTCATACTGCCCTTGAATCCAACCCTTTGGCGATTTCCTGACCAAGGTAACCCTGTGGGAGAACCCTTGGACGCAGGTCGCTTTCAAAGGGTTATCATCAAGGGTTTAGTGCGAGGGCCTCATGGCCGTTACGTTCATTTCTTTTGGGGTATTGTGGCCGTCTAGATGGCCGATACGGGTGCTGTGGGATAACCGTTGTCTGTTGTTGGCCGTTGAGTGCCCTGGCCGTTGTGAGTGTTATTCTCCCCTTCCTCGTTCCGTAGAGCCTGCTTTGCCAGTGGGCTCTTGATCTGTGGATTGGGCTTGGCCCATTAGTGACGTGGAGGCGTCCCGTTGGTGGCCGTTGGTGTGGCCACTAGGAGGATGCCACGTGTAGTGACCGTTGGGTGGGGGTTCTATAAATACCTCTCTTTATCCGACGAGAGCTCTCATTTGCAATCTGAGCTATCGAAGTGGTGGCCAAATTCCTAGAGAGATAAACTTCAAAGCAAGTGTTCTTCGTGTTCTTCGTGTTCTTCAAGGTTAGTGTTCATAGAAATCTCTGTACTTTGTATATTTTGCTTCCTAGGCTAGTGATCTAGTGTTAGGCATTTGAACACCCTTAGATCTCGAAGTTGGTTGCCGTGTACTCGAAATAGTGTTTAAGATGAAAGACTTCAACGGAGAGTACTACCCCTACGACGACGAGCCCTCCACCAAGTCCCTTGACTATGAAGTGGTCGAGGAGTTCTGTGAGGAGCTTTAGAATCTGAGCTCGTTCAAGTCCGGGGAGCAGGATGATGAGGACGGTGAGGACGAGGGGTCTGCGTCATCGTCTTGAGGTGGGGACGTAGGGGTCTCCCGAACTGCTGATGGGGCGTCCACGTCGGCTGCCATCCCATGCCCAAAACAGGCATCTGCTGTGAAGGGTGTTGCGCCGCCGAAGAGGGTGAGGAGGCCGAAGAGAGGGCCAGCCTTCTCGTATTTGGATCTGACGAATATCTACATTATCAGGCCGCAGAGTAATGCGGGTGAATACCTGGTTGCACAGATGTATGTGGGGCCGTATGGTAGGGTTAGGGCCCCCAGGCCGACGGACCATGTCCTCAATCCACCCCCGGGCTACTTTGGAGTGTACCCGACGAGCTTTGCCAAAGGGCTTAGGTTCCCGCTTCATCCCTTTATCACCGAGTACCTAGATATGGTGGGGCTCCCTCCGGCCTTGTTGACGCTGAATAGCTACTCGCTCATCGTCGGCTTCCTCTTGCGGTGTGCTGAATTGGATTTCAGGCCGACGACGGCACTGTTTATGAACCTATACCAGATAGGCCGCGGAAGTCACCAAAACTGTGCGTCGTATGCCACTCTCCAACAACTCCCCAAGAAAAGAAGTTTCACAGACCTGCCAACGTCCATCCATGGTTGGAAAGGGAAGTTCGTGTTCGTATCGTTGGGTGAAGGGGGTGTAGAGTTTCCTTCCGTCGGCCACATTGGACGGTTTAATCTTCATGATACGCCGAGGAGCTCCATCCTGGACGCTCAGGTTGAGGCTTTCCTGAAGGGAGGACCGAGGAGTGTGAAGACGTACATTACCGAGTACAAAATGGTCGCCCTCGGCTTCGTACGGTATTTTGTGTACGGTGACAATGACGACGATGTGGAGTTGTGGCCGAAGATGACCACGTCTTACGAGGAGGCTGATGGTCCCGATCTGGGGGTGCCAGCTGAGGACGATGGTAATTCCTTTCTGATGCACTTCTTCTCGTCGTACTTTTGTATTCTCTGTTTGCTGACCCTTGGTGTTTTTTCTGGTGCAGGTTTTGTCATGGATCGTATGTCCTTTATCAAGAGGGCACAACTTAAAGCGGCTGAGGAGCTGAAGGCCCAACAGCCTTGTGCTGCCAAGAAGTCGAAGAGAGCTTCCCCTGCCGGTGATGTCGGGACGTCGGATGTTCCCTCTGGGGACGGGGGGGTCCAATGTTGATGCTTTGGTGGACCACCCTTCGGGCCCTTCGTCCACCACCTTGTCCACCATTCCTGCTGCCGTAACGGCCACCCGAAAGAAAGGGTCCGACCGAGAGCTGGTCAGAGGGACCTACAAGCTTGAGGTGGAGTACCCTGTCAAAGGGGGGCTGTTCAACGAGATCGTTGACGGCCACGAGGTGATCTCCCAGGCCATCCCTGATGAGGACCGGGCTTACCTGAAGAAGCTCGGCCATGTTAAGATGTACGATGGTGGGATGGACCACATCGTCCAAGTAAGTACTCACGTCCGCTTCATCTGCATTTCTGTTTTTTTTTGTTATGCGCTGTCGTCGTCTAACTCATATTTTACCGCAGGGTGCCTTCATGTTGATGGAAAGCAACAGGAGGCAGCAATAGGAGATCGCTCGCTTGAAGCAATTCGAGCAAAGGGTTGCTTCGGCCGACAAAGCACTGGGCAGCTTGGAGAGGCTGCGGCTTGAAGTCGAAGGTCTGAAGAAGAGGGCTGATGAGGCCGATCAACTGGCTGCTGAGAAGGAAGGGGCCCTCCAGCGCTTAGCCGATATGGAGCGTGTTCGTGACGAGGCCCTTCGGCGTGCGGAGGAGGCCGAGAAGGGTAAGGCCAGTGTGGAGCTAGCCCTTAGTGCCGCCGAGGAGAAAGTTGTTGAGGCAGCTGTG